TGGATAAATGATATGAAATTTTTTTGGCAAGAAAGAGGAGCAATAATAATGTGTGATGGTTGGACACACAATATCAACCATACTCATATTATGAATTTCTTGCTATATTGTCATAAAGGTACTATATTTTAGAAATTTGTCGATGCTTCTGATGTTGATAGTAGAAACACTGACTGCTACTTTCAATTATTGGATAAAGTTGTGGAAGAAGTGGGTGAAGAGTATGTAGTTCAAGTGGTAACAGACAACGAAGCCGCATTAAAATTAGCTAGTCAAAAACTAATAGAGAAGAGGTCACATTTATACTAGTCTTCTTGTGCAACTCATTGTTTAGATCTTTGCTTGGAGGATATAGGAAAAAGGAAGCATACAAACTTTATTAAGTGAAGCAAAATGGTGACAACCTTCATCTATAACCACACATATATTGTGAGTCTCATGAAAAAATATACAGGTGGTAGAGATATTATTCATCCTAGTGTTACTCGATTTGTAATACAATTTATACAACTTCAAGCAATTGTGAGACAAAAGAAAGGTCTTGAAAACATGTCCAATTATGAAGAATTTAGAAAAACAAAATATGATAAAGAAAAGAAAGGACCAGGATATGAAGCAAGGAAATTTGTTATAAGTAGGGACTTTTGGAGTAAGGCTAATGACTTATTGAAAGTATTTGAGGCAATTGTAAAAGTTTTGAGACTAGTTGATGGTGATGAGACACCAACAATGGGTTTCATATATGAAGCCATTGATCGAGCAAAACAAGTTATTAAGCAAAATTCTCGTTATCATTCCAAATATAATGATATCATTGACAAGTGTTGGAAATTCATGCACTCTGATCTTCATTCTGCTGATATGTCAATATATTTTATAATTTTAATTTTGTATTGAAATTTAAATTTATAATATCATATCCTTAATAGTTGACTTTGACTTCTAGGTTATTTTCTTATTCCACAATTTTAGTATGGAATTGAATATGGAAAGGATGCGTATAAAGAAACATTTAATGGAACAAGTAATGTAATCATAAAGATAGAAAGAAACATAGATGATCAAATCAAAGCTCTAAATCAAGTAAGTAATTGATATTATATTTTCATATGATAAATCATTTATTAGAAAAAAAATTTATGTACTGATATGTTTTGTTATATAGCTAACACTTTTTAGAGAAAAGAGTGAAACGTTTGGTACGCCTCTAGCTCAAAAATCTTGGTCTAAGATGGATGCAGGTAAAAATACAAGTTTTTTTTTATTATAAGTTTTTATAAATATACTTTACTTTTTAATATAACCAATAATTTTATTTTATTTTTTCTTTAAAAAGCCCAAACATCAACGTTTGGCTATGAAAGTTGTTAGTCAAACAACCTCTGCCACAAATTGTGACAGAAATTGGAGTACATTTAGCTATATCCACACAAAGACAAGAAACAGATTGAAGTACAAAAAATTGTATAAGCTTGTCTTCACATATTACAACATGAAGTTTAGAATGATGGATAAGTTAAGGAAGAGTTAGGAAGAAATAGAAGCAAATTTTGATCTGATAAATCTTGACTCTATATCTCAAGAAGATCCATTATCTCATTGGATAGAAGAGAGGGAAAATTCATTATTGGATGGAGTTTAAAATGCAGAATGGTTGCCGATAGTTGATACAAATAATAAAAATGTTGATGATAATAGTGAATCTAATGAAAGTGATGGTGGTTTAAGTCCACCAAACAGTAATAGTGGTGATGGGGTGGTAATGTAGTGTATAATGAAAGTGAAGGTGATGGTGAAAGTGGAGGCGGTGATGATGAAGGAGAAGATGATGAACTTGATACATATCATGAAACACCACCAAATTATAGGCGTTATAGGAACCTGAGTGATATGGATCGTTCTGACACCTCACTACTTGAGACAGGAGGAAATGTGTCACAATCTAGAAGAAAGGGGAAAAGAAAATAAAATGTTCCACTTGAAGATTCTTCCTCTTCTAGTATTGCTCATAGTTTTAGTGATTTTGAGATTGGCGATTCATCACAAAGTAGTCAACAATCTTATTCACCTGTTTACCAATATCCGTTTTTCAACTCTTATAACCAATATCCTAGTGATCAAGCTCCTACGTACTACCAACAATCAATGAATGATCACAATCCTTATCATCAACAATCAAATGGTGATTTTTTTGGTTATGTCTTTGGACAAGGAACTACGTAAGATGATAGTCTGAGTGAAAATACACGTTATGCTCCTTCACGTCATTCCACGTACCAAGAGACACATAAGTTATATTTTCAAATATTTGACTTTATATTTAGTTAACTATATATGTGAAAAGTCTTAATTTTAGATGCAATTTAAAGGTACAAATTAGAATTTTCATAATCTTTTTTGTTTTGTTTTGTTACATTTTGTTACAGTGAAGATATCTTTGTGTGACAAAATGATGATGTTTTTCACCATTAAGACTGCAATATAAGACATTAATATGTTTGTGTCTATAGTCCTTTTTATTTTAAATAAATTGTAACTTGTATTATGTACTTGAAAAATTACTTTCGAGCTTATGTTTGTTTAAACTTCCAATATTATTTATGATAATGTTTGTTTCGTTAGAATTCAATTTAAATTATACATAAATACAATACAATAGCCTACAAGTAGTCTAAAAGTGAATTAAAACTAATACACAATTATAAAGACAAGAAACATAATTAATTAGAATAACTTTACAATTTTTTATATTTAATGTGTGTATAAAATAATATCACGCCACAACGGCCGTATTAGCTGCAACCGCAACATCCACACCTACAACCGCAACATTTACAACGGCCATATTAGCTGCAATCGCAACATCCACAACTGCAACCGCAACATTTACAACCGCATCCTCAGTCCCAACCGCAATTTAAAACCATGCTTTAACTAATCAACTAATTGCAAATACTTCAGCTTTCATGGCCAACACACGATCATAACAGAATAACTTCACACTTCAAAATGCATAATAGATTTTTGAATTACTAATTGCACATAACACTTCATCACAACTAACATAACAAGAACTGCACACAAACTAACTGCATCAAGACTCATTACCGCATTTCATCATAACTAAATTTCAAAATCACACAAGCTAACTTCATATTCTAATTCATAACTAATTAACACTCAATTTCCAGCTAATTGCCAGCTAACATAACTGAATTCCATAGCTAACTTTCATCACAATTCCAAATCTAACCTTGATTTTCACTCCTATAAATTCAACCTTCTTCACAATTATAATCTATCATTCATCTTCACCACTCTCTAATTTCTCTCTGGCGAGAGGTATTTTTGAAAGGAGAAGCACACGTGATGTATAATGCAGGCATGTGATGTTTTTGATTCCATTCAACTATCCTTCATGTGTGATTTTGGGCTTCAAAATCCATTAGTTTAACTATTGGCACCCGTTTTTTCTGCATAGAACCCCTTTACATGCATCCTCCCTGGGCTTGCTTGGGCTTCTAAGGCCACTAGAAATTCTGTTAGCACCCTATTTTGTGCTTGCACCCCCTGTCTGGCATGGTCCCTTACGTTTGAGCTTTTCTAAGCCCAACCATAACTGCTATCTACACCAATGTCTCCATTACTGCGCCTTTTGCTTTATTTTTTTTTTGGTTTTATTTTGTTAACTACATTTTGTTTCTTTCTTTTTATGGTATTTTAATTTTTTTCTTTATGTGCACTTTTTTGTCATGATTTAATTGGAAATAAATAATGGGACTTAATTCTTTAGGTCATGCTTGGAAAAAATAATGAAAATGATTAAAGTTAATTAGGTTTATTTGATTTTAATTACTTTGAAATGCTTTGGATAAAATTGGTTAACATAGAGATTAATTTGATCTTGACTCATCATGTTAAACTTCAAACGATACTTGTATGACAATTTTCAAATAATTCTTGTGTGTTAATTTTCATTCAAGTTTGTTGATTAATGGTGCTTTTGATATTAATTAATTCTTGAGTGAAATTTCCTTTTGATCATGATGATGCCATTTAGATTTTTGCTTCATTTTGATGCATGATTTTAGCCATGGTTTCTAATTGCATTGATATCCATTTTGACTCCATTCTTAATAATTTTTTGATACACATATGTATGATTTTTTATCATTGTCACTTAATTGATTTGGACATTATGATGGTTTGTGCTTGTATGCACTTAGTTTTTGTGGTATATGATTCATCCCTTATTATGGGAAAAGTGTACCCAATTTTCATGAAAATATATTGGTTTATATTTTATCCTCCCATGATGGATAAAATATCCTTCACTCCCATAAACATGTAATAGTTTAGGATTTACTTTCTTTTCCGCTTTTCTTTGCATGCTAATAACCAAGATAAAATCAAACGATACAAAATAATCTTTTGAAAAGATAAGAATAAGCTTGATCCAACGTCAAGTATTTTCCAAATCAAATTCAATCAAAAGCAACGTGAGTGCTTGACCCAACGTCAAGTACCTCATCCATTTCATTCTATTCTCACTATTCCATTTCATTTTCACACCAATTTCACAATTCAAACTCCAAACACTTGGTCCAACGCCAAGTCATTTTCAAAACATTTTTACAATAAACTGGATAAAACAGAATGAGGTGTGTGTACTTGTGCACACCATTTCTCAAGTACTTGGGTTGTTGGTCCAACTTGGCTTGTGACCTGATACTTGTCTTCCATTCAAAATACTTAAGAATAAAACGAGTTTAATTCGCTCCTCTTAGGGGGAAAAAGAGGGGTTAGGATATCATTGTCCTTTCAACTCTCAAGTATTCTGATTGTCGTCTATACTTAACTGGTGGTTAGATACTTGTTTTCCTCTAAGTACCAATGATTGAACTCACATCACAAATTTCATGAGCAAATTCAAAAATCAACCTCAACTCATTAAACTTATTTTGCATCTTACATCATCATTCCAAAACCTTTTTTCAAGG